AATATATATATAATTTGTTGTATATTTATTATATATTATTTAATTGTTATGTATTTATTATATATATTTATTACATATTTATTTATATTTATTTATATTTATTATATATTAATGTATTTAAATATAAAGTTAACATACAACAAGAGCAGCAACTGCAGCAGCAGCAGGGAGAGAGGCGTTAGCCGTTAATGCATTATGCTGTCAAGTAGACAACAAAGAAATGTCTGTGGTGCCTCTGCTGCTGCAGCACTGCAGCAGCAGCTGTAGCACAGCAACAGCTGCAGCAGCACAGCAACAGCAACAGCAGCAGCTGAGACCACGATGAAGTTTCCCCACCACTCGTGTTGCTGCAGGGCCTGTGCACGGCTGCTGATTCTGCGAAGTGTTGCTGCTTAAGTTAGATGCTACTGCTGCTGTTAAAGGTAGGTGCTGCTGCTGCTGCTGCTGCTGCTGCTGCTAAGATAAAGGCGGATCGAAAGATGGGTGTAGAGGATGGTCTGGCGGGAGAACATCTAGAGCAGTTGCACGCCGCGGCCGAAGCTGCAGCAGACAGCAGCAACAGCAGCAGCAACAGCAGCAAGTTAAAGGTCCACCAAAGCGCCAAGAGCAGCGCGCGCACAGAAGCTGCTAGCAGCAGTAGCAGCAATAACAGCGAACACGAAAAGCAACAACAAAAGATGCGCAGCAGCAAACAGCAGCTGCAGCACAAGCAGGCCGATGCATTCGCAGCAGCAGCACGGAGTCGCTATCAACAGCAAAAGATGCAGCAAGGGCAGCCACAAAAGCTGCAGCAACAACAGCCCCAAGCAGCAGCAGCAGCAGCGGCAGCAGCACCGTTGCCCACCTTATACACCCCAAATTTGTATTTCTCCCTCCGTTTCCTTAGACGCTCTTGCCGCCGCCGCATTTCATCCTGCAGCAGCAACAGCAGCACGAACAGCAGCAGCAACACCATCGACACGAACAGCAGTAGCAGTATCAGCAACACCATTAGCAGCAGCAGCAGCAGCAGCAGCACCAGAAATCATAGGAATGAATAAATAGGTTGTTTTCCATAGTATTCCCCTTTAACTTTTACCAGTAGTAGCACTATCAGCAGCAGCAGCAGCAGCAGCATCATCATCATCATTAGCAGCAAAACATACAAATGAATAAATAAGTTGTCTTCTATAATATTCTCCTTTAACTTCTTTTATTCTTTTATATTTATATCTATAATAAGGACCACCATAAACATAAGGAGGTAAATTTGCTGCTAATCTGCTGCGCATATAACGATGTAGTATACGCGATACCCGAGTACGGATACGATGCTCCACAGAACGGACACCTGCAGCAGCAGCAGCAGCAGCAGCAGCAGCAGATGCAGCAGTAGATGCAGCCGTAGATGCAGCAGTAGATGTGGTAGTAGATGCAGCAGGAGATGGGCAGCAGGAGATGGGTGGTAGCACAGATGATATTTTCCTCTAACATTAGGGTTTAGGGTTTAGGGTTTAGGGCCTAACCAGGTTTATGCTTTCCTCTTTTTCTTTCATATTTCCCCCTAACATTATATTTCCATTTATAACGATAGTCAAGAGTTGGAGGAGGAGGAGGAGAATCAACATAAGCAGCAGCATCACTGTTTGCGCTACGTAGTACCTGCGTATACAGCCCAATTATGCATGCAGCAGCAGCAGCAAAATTTGCAACAGAAAGATGCAGCATTGAATAGTTGCTCCATTGATTCGCTGCTACTGCGCATATTGGTGCTCCTCCGTGCGCTGGTACTACATCTGCTGCTGCTGCTGCTGCTGCTGCATCTGCATCTGCATCTGTTGCTGCTGCTGTTGCTGCTGTTACCTTAAGATTTAATATTCTTGGTGAGTAAAGAGGAATTCTCTGCTCAACAGCAACACCTTGGACACCATTTCTTAGCACAAAAGAAGAATTAAGAGAATTATGACGAACACTTAATACGTAACCTGCATACACAACATAAATTAGGGTTTAGGGTTTAGGGTTTGGGGTTTAGGGTTTTGGGGTTAAGGGTTTAGGGTTTAGAGTTGAGCTAAACCCTAAACCCTAAACCCTCACGAACTTCTTCAACTCAAGCGCATTGCGCGGCTTCAAGCTGCACAGCTCCTAATAGAGCCTAAACCCTAAACCCTAAACCCTAAACCCTAGACGTACCCTGAAAGGTCGCAACGGTTTGCTGCGAGCGGCTGAGTTCATATTGAACCTCCACCAAGTCACCAGGCCCAAACTTAGGCATCTGCAGCAGCAGCAGCAACAGCAACAGCAGCAGCCACACAAGCAGCAGAAGTAACAGCAGCAGCAACAGCAGCAGCACATAAGAGCCCCCCAACAGATTGCTGCAGCACCAACACCAAGACATCCCTGCTGCTGATGAAGTGCTGCAGCAACAGCAGCAACAGCAGCAACAGCAGCAGCAGTAGGAGGAGCAGCAGCAACAGCAACAGCAGCAGGAGCAGCCTACTTTAAAGTTTCTTTTTTTTTGTAGATGTTTAACTTCTTGCATCATAAGAAGATGAATTAAATCTTTGCATGCAGATTTATTTTGCTGCTGCAGTCTTGCTGCTGGTGTATCTGCTAGGGGTCTGCCGCACCAGTAGCCGCGCTGCAGCAGCAAATCTTCTGCTTCTGCTAATACCTCTAGAGGCTGATCCTTCCTGTTGTTGCTGCTGCTGCTGCCATTGGTGCTGCTGCTGTTGCTGTTGTTGCTGTCGGCTTCTGCTGCTGCTGCTGCTGCTGCACCTGCAGGAAGGGGAGCAGCATATAGCAACAGATGAGGCCAATGCTTAGACATTGCAGGGATAGATGCTTCTGCCGCTGATGAAGGAGTCACTCTGTGCCGCAGCAAACGACGTGCTGCAGCAGCAAATGGTTGATACAGTACACCCTGCTGCTGTTGCAGCTGCTGCTGCAGTTGCTGCTGCAGTTGTTGCTGCAGTTGCTGCTGCAGCTGGCGTTGATAGTGCTGCTGCAGCTGCTGATGTTGCTGCTGCTCCTGCCGATGACACTCAGATGAAGACACGGTGGCGCTGGGATGGGCGGAGCATCCTGTTGTTGCTGCTGCTGCTGATGCTGCTGTTGCTGCTGCTGGTGGTGGTATTGTTGCGGTTGTGCTTGCTGCAGGCGCTGATCGAGGGCAGTAACAGCGACTGCACGTAATGGAGCGCAGCAGCAGCATTTTGCTGGTGCTACTGCAGCAGCAGCAGCTGCTGCTGCTGCTGTGTGCTGCAGATGTAGTAGGAGCAGTATAGGTAACTACTGCAACAGCAACTACAGCAAACCCAATATCATCTGATTGTTTTTAATCTGTATTTATTTATTCATTAACTTAATTTAATTTAATTTAATTTATTAATTTAATTTAATTAATTAATTAATTAATTAATTAATTTGTACATTTACTCATACACTATATCGATAATACATAAGAAGACTGGCGCAGACGGCAACACATTAGAGCTGCCTATACACCGCAGATGGATATAGAGAAAAAAAAACAAAAAAAATAAAGATGTTAAAACCCTCACCATAAGAATCTTACACCAGAAACCCTAAACCGTAAACCCTAAACCCTAATTTTTTTCTTTTCTCTGGTGTTTGTCTACCCCCCTGCGGTCGCATGCAGCCCCAAGAATGTCAATAAACAGTTTATTTTTTTATTTATTTTCTTAAATTATTTAATTAAATTTATTTATTATTTAATCCATAAACAAATAAGAAGTCTTTTTGCTGCTGCTGGTAGCAACTGTTGCAGCAGACACCATGGGACAATCGATCCCCAGTCGATCCCAGGACGATCCCCTAGGGCTCCACTGGGGATCGATATCGATCCCGTGCACGGCCATCGAGCCCACACTGTGGGGTCTCTGTCTCTCATGTAGGACTACCTAGATGGCTAGCTAACTAACTAACTAGCCAGTTGCCTGTCTAGCCAGCTAGCTAGATACACAGCTAGCTATCTAGCTGGAAGTATTGATAGAGGCACAGCTAGCTATTCAGTTAGATAGGTAGATATCCAGCTAGCTAACTAGCTAGCTACTTAGATGTCTACCTAGCTAGCTAGCAAGCCAGCTAGCTAGCCAGCGGTGTATCTGTAGGCATGGGTGGCAAAAAGAGCCAAAGACTTGTTTATAGTCGGAGGGAGAAAATAAATAAAAAAAAGAATTAAAAAAGAAGGAGGTGCCTATACACCTGAAAAAGTGTTGAATTTGGGGTGTATAGGGAGGTTTATGCATACATAGGGGGAGCAGAAGGAAGAAGTTGGGGTGTATGTACAGTACTAATAGTAGGGTTTGTATCACATACAGTAGACATATAAGGAGTAGATGATGAATAATAAGGGTTTAGGGAAGGGTTTAGGGAAGGGTTTATTAAAGGTAATGATGTATCTAAACCCCCAGATAAATAGGAACGAGAAGATAATTTTGCTGCATTCAGCTGTATACACAACACACAAACCCTAAACCCTAAACCCTAAACCCTAGTTAGATACAGCAGAAGGCACAAGGGATATTACAGCAGCAACCCTAAACCCTAACTAAACTCCAACTGTCGCTACAGATAAGCAATGCAATCCCATCAGCCTCAAACCCTAAACCCTAAACCCTAGCTATTTACCTCAGCAAGCTGAGCAGCAGAAAGAGAACATGCTGTTGATACTTCATCATTAGGGTTTGCGTAAACCTCATCTAACTTTGGAGAATTCTGCCAAAACCATATTACGTTCCTGAATACACACAAACCCTAAACCCTAAACCCTAGACCCTAAACACTAGCGGGAGCAGATTGTCTACAATAAGGCGCTGCTACAGTTGCTGCTGCTGCAGTTGCTGCTGCTGCTGCCCGACCTAAAAATTGCAGGAAGAGATAAACCTCCTAACTCCCACAACCAGCCGCTTGTCTTTCCTCCAAACCTCTCCACTATATGCGGAGGCCTGAAAACAACAAACCCTAAACCCTAAACCCTAAACCCTAAACTCCAAACCCTAGAGCATAAAGAAAGAGTGCTAGGGCGCGCAACAGCAGGCAGCAGCTGACGATCGCTAGGTGCAACAGGGTTTCTAACTGTAGGGATTAGTGTTTAGGGTTTAGGGTTTAGGGTTTACTTTTTTAAGAACTCAAAGTAAGTAACATTAGATAAAATTGTTCGCGTTGTACGCAGCAACAAATAAACAGCAAAAAGAAGCCATGCAAAATTAGATATGGCGAGGCATAAGCATATGAGCAACCATAACTGCACACAAACCATAAAACCCTAAACCCTAAACCCTAAACCCTAAAATTCCAAACCCTAAACCCTAAAACCCACAAACCCCGGCAAAGACAACGACAAACGGAACCCTATACCTCTACAAAGCCTCTGGTACAGCCACGGAACGGAAACCCTAAACCCTAAACCCTAAACCCTCGTTCGTACCCATTGGGATGGAGAGGTGATAGCCTCAGCAGCATATAACCACGTAAGAGAGAAAGATTCAATAATAGAGAGAGAAATACAAAAAAGAAAACAAACAAAAGGACGAGTGTTTCCTGCTGCTATACAATTATCTACCCACATACAGTGGTGATCTTGACGGCTGCAGCACAAACACAGCAGCAGCAGCAGCAGCAGCAGCAACAACAACAACAACAACAACGGCACAGGAGATGAGCAGATAAGCGTGAACTATCCACACACGCAACGACAGCAGCACAAGAAGCAGCAGCAACACCCAGCACCCTCCCCACCCCCAGCAGCAGTGTACTCCAAGCAGCAGCAGCAGAACCACCACCCCCAGCAGCAGCAGTAGCAGCAGCAGCAGCAAAATTATGAGTACTTACAGTAGACAATGTGCACATTCAGCACAATGATGAACACGATTAGGTTTAATAATATTACAAGTAACACAAATTTGTTTTAATTCAGCAGAAGATCCATTCATGATGGAGTGTATATACACCTCATTTAGTCTATGCTGTCTTTCTGCTGCTACTGCTTGCTGCAGTTGCCATGCAGATTCACGTAATTGATCTAATGTTGCTGCTGCAGCAGATATACGACTGCTATCCTCAGTAGCAGCAGCAGAAGAAGAATCCTCCATGCATACACTCCCTAATGCATTCAACTCGTATAACTCTAAGTTTGTTAATAACTTCTGCCTGATACACACAAACCCCAAACCCTAAACCCTAAACCCTAAACCCTAATTCCGATGCATGAAGAGCTAATCGGGAATCAGGAAACCTCGCCGCTGATAAATAATGAAACACCAAAAACTGCCATTTAACCTCCTAAACCCTAAACCCTAAACCCCAAACCCTAAACCCCAAACCCTAAACCCTAAACCCTAGAAAGTACCTGTCAAGCTGTTCGAGCTGGGAATGATAAGGACCATAAGAAGGGCCTAATGGCCATCGAAGTCCATTTAAAACCTCACGAGTAAACCTCCTAAAAGCAGCAGCAGCAGCAGCAGCAGCAGCAACAGTAGTAGCAGCAACAGGGACACGAACATGAACAGCAAGTTCACTTGGAGGTGCAGGAGCAGCAGCAACAACAGCAGCAACAACAGTAGCACTTCAAGCACCAGCAGCAGCAGCAGCGTTAGGAGAAACCTCGCACAACACCAACAGCAGAAACAACCACAGCAGCAGCAACAACAGCAGCACCAACAGCAACGACCCAGCAGTAACAGCAGCAGCAGCAGGAACGCAGCAGTAACAGCAGCAGCAGCAGCAGCAGCAGCAGCAGCAGCAACTTACGGGTGTACAGAGGCGAATTGACTTTTAATACGATTAAGACTTGCGGGGACGATCCCGGGATCGGCTTTGAATGTAATAAACCATAGGACTTGTGTAGCCCCCCACATGCCTATAGCAGCAGCTGCATGCAGCCCCCAATTACTACTATTACTGCTGCTGTTGCTGCTGCTGCTGGTGGTGGTGCTGCTGCTGGTGCTAAGGAAGACCGTCATAGCAAATAAACCTATAAATGTTGCTATAGATAATATCCAATAAAGAAGAGCATAAGGAGATTTAATACATTTTGTTTGTTTAAAGAATTTAAATTGTAAAGAAAGACAAAAAAGAAGAAAAGCTAATAAATAAAAACGACGAGAAAGACATAAAGAAATAACATTCTTCCCCTTTCCATCTAGCTGCTGTTGCTGCTGCTGCTGATGCATGTGGTGCTGCTGTTGCTGCTGTTGTTGCTGCGATTGGAGAGATACAACACTTTTTGTATCTAATAAACATACACCTCCTGTCTTACATAATAACAGCATGCAATCCTCAGCCCCACATCCAGACACGCATGCATGCAATGCTGTGCTACCCGAGCAATCGCGGTGATTTAGATTCGCTCCCTTAGACACAAATACACAAACCCTAAACCCTAAACCCTAAACCCTAAACCCTAAAAATTCAAAATTCAAAAATACACGAATATACGAGTTGTATACACCATACGAGCACACACACTTCCTCTACATTTATAATACACAAGCCAGACAGGAATTAGGGTTTAGGGTTTAGGGTTTGTAGATTACCTTAGATAATAACCACTGAAGAATAGGCAACGAACCACGACGAGCTGCCCACATTAAGGCGGTTTGTCCAGTGTCATCCTGTTCCTCTAAAGAGACTCCCTGCGGCAATAACCCCAAACCCTAAACCCTAAACCCTAAACCCTAAACCCTAAAGGAGTGAGCAACGGAGATGCGCCTTCACCACCGGTTTTGCAGCAGCTTAGGTAGGGTTGATATATTTGGCCTTCTAGTCGCCTTTTAGGGTTTACGGCTTGTGGATTAGCTGCCTGAATCTAGGGTTTAGGGTTTAGGGTTTGGGGTTTACGTGGAGATAGATAAGTTCCAAGATGCGCAGCGCATCGCCAATTTTCTCCTCAGCGAATTCTCCAGCAGCAACAAGGAAGGGCGTCATGTTATGCCGATTCTGCAGCCACAAACCCTAAACCCTAAACCCTAATTCTTAAGCCCCAAACCCTAGACCCTGGATTCCCATTGTGCAAATGGCTTGAATGCTGCAGCTGCTGCACAAAATCCAGCGGTCGCCGTCTGCGATGTGAATAAAAGTGTAGGTTAAGGGCTAGGGTTTAGGATTAGGGTTTAGGATTAGGGTTTACCTGATGCTGCAGCAACGTGCAACCACCGTGAGCAAGCAGACAACGAACCGCCTCGAAGTTGCCCGCCTTAATTGCAAAATAAATTGGAGTCTCCAGAGAAGCTTCCTCCTGAACCCCAAAGCCCAAGCCCTAAACCCTAAACCCTAAACCCTAAACCCTAGATCCTAAACCCTAGACCCTAGAAATTCTAGAAACCCTAGAAACCCTAAAATCCTTAAACACCGTGAAAATCATGAAATCGCAAATGTAATGTCTATAGCCTGGACACTAAACCCTCAAACCTCAAATGTGAACCCTAAACCCTAAACCCTAAACCCTAGGTTCTGACCTGATGTGTAGGGGAGCAACCAAGTTCTTGTAGAAGATAAGTAAGAAGAAGATCAGAGCCTAAGAAGGCTGCCCAGTGTAGTGCATGCGCTTCCTGCAGCGCTGCTGCTGCGGCGGCTGGACCTTTGCTGCTGGCAAGAGAGCGGCATAAACCCATAAACCCTGCACTGTCTTTACGTCTTGCTGCAGCAACAACTAGAGCCTGAATACAAACCGTAAACCCTAAACCCTAAACCTTAAACCCTCGGAATACCAACGCCAAGTCCACAAACAAATCGACGACTTCTAGTTCAAATGTGACAGCTGAGTATCACCGGTAACACCTCTAAACCCGAAACCCTAAGCCCTAAACCCTACGTACCTCTAAGCCGATCCCCGGCAGCTGCGACATCCGCAGCAGCGGGGATTCAAGAAACATCCCCGAGTCCGCCTCCTCCATTGGAGGCCCCTTTAAAGACTCCATCTGCTGCTGCTGCTGCTATTGCTGCTGCTATTGCTGCTGCTATTGCTGCTGCTGCTGCAGTTGCTGCTGTGTTGCTGCGACTGCTGCTACCGTTGCTGCAGTTGTTTGTGCGTCTTCTGTCTGGAGCAGGTGTTGTTGATGCTGCTGCTGCTCCTGTTGCTGCTGGTTTTGCTGCTGCTGTTACTCCTCCTGTTGCTGCAAAACCACAGCTGCCACAATTGGGGTTCGAAGGCAGATTGTCTCTTGCTTTGCTCCATGCGCTAAACCCTAAACCCTCAACCCTCGAGAGGGACCACTGCCGACTGGACAGGCGTGAACGGACCCAAACCCTAAACCCTAAACCCTAAACCCTAAAATTCTTAAGGGTTATAAAACAAAGAAGGTTTACGGGCGTTGTGTGCGGTATGAATCCCCTGGTGCTGGAATGTGTTGCTGTTGCTGTTGCTGTTATTTCTGTTGCTGTTGCTGTTGCTGCTGCTGTTGCTGTGGTGCATGAGCACTACAATATTGACTCTGTCGATTCTTTAGCGAAAGAATTCTTTATAAATAATAAAATAAAGAATAATTAGCATTTAATAAAAAGATTTAGACTACTGTTGATGGTCTAATGGACAACTCATACCTACAGACCATGGGGCTGGCTATATAACTCGTCACGCAGAGGCCTCGTATAGCGGGACGCTTCCTTCCTCTCTATGAGGGGGGGGAGAGGAAGGGGGGG